ATATATTAAATCATAGCATATATTTAAGAAAACATTCAGCAAATACACTAAATTATTTTAATTAATTAGAGTACATTGATTAGTGCCTTGTGGAATTTTCTCTACATAAATTGCATAATAAAATATATCGAAATATGTGTTGAATTTAGATGTGCGTATTGTTCATGTCACTATCTCTGGAACCCCAAAATGCCAGTGTGATTAAAATCTTACTATGGAATCTCTCAAAATATTACAAATACATTTTTTTCTTTTCTTTTTTTTTTTTTGAGTTGGAGTCTCACTCTGTCGCCCAGACTGGAGTGCAGTGGCCACTCCCGGCCACCACAGCCTTGACCTGCTGGGCTCCGGTGATCCTTCCTCCTCAGTCTTCCAAGTAGCTGGACCTACAGGTGCACACTACCACGCCTGGCTAATTTTTTATTTATTGTAGAGATGAGGCCTCGCCAAGTTGCCCAGGCGGGTCTCAAACCCGCGGGCTTAGGCAATCCACTTACCTCAGCCTCCCAAAAGTGTGGGATTACAGGCTGAGCCAACGAACCCGGCTTACAAATACATTTTTAAAGAAAGTGGCAGCAATCCCAAAATTGTGTTTTGAGGGGGAAATAAGGCTATTATTATTTCTAAATTGTCAGAACCTCAGGAGACTTGTCATCACATGAACAAAATAAAAATGAATTTGGACAGTACAATGAACGCCAGGACTGGATCACTTGAGATTCCACCGCCAGCTCGTCATAAGGAGACGTGAGAATACATTAGCCTCTTCTTCCTATGTAACCAGAACTTACTTGGCTTCTTTCACTTTTCTCTATCAAACCTCTTTCCCCAACAAAATCCAGATACTGCCTGTGATCTCACTCTGTACACAGGCCCTGATTTTGGAAAAGAAAGACATCTGAGAAGTCTCAACAACTTAACTTTGCTAGTATGCTGTCCCTTCCAAATATATTTACACCTTAAATTAGAATTCCAGAAAAAATATTTTTGGAGAGGAAGAGTAGGAAAGAACAAAAAGAGTTATTGATAGCAAGACATGTATTACATCTTTCAAATCCTAGTGCATGTAACAACCATGGGAACAATAATAAAAGGGTGTTCGGGATATGCTTGAGCTCATTCAGGTTTGGGGATTAACCCACAAGGAACTGTCTTCCATATGTGCATCGGTCATGTTTCCTGCTGCAGTCAGAGTCTCTACCTGTGATTGTCTTTGGAGTAAGGCCTGGGTATGCACTGATGGGAGTATTTCCTCTGTGCTCTGCCCCCTTCATCCCAGGCAGGAGACTGGATTCCATCCTGATTCACCTTCCCAACTCACTATTTTCCAGCCCGAGCTTTTCCTAGACCCCAGGCTCCAGCTCTTTACTCCATTCTGCAACTGAGACTGTACTTAAACTTTGAGAGAAACAGGGAGAAAGGACTATTCGGTAGTAATTTTGTCCCCCTGTTTTTTGGGGGGCTAGTTACTCTCTACTGCTCTGTTTTTTTCACAAATGATACCTCTGTAATTTGGTTCCTGATTTAATGTATGCCATTGGCTTTGGAGATCCAGGTTTAGGGCCTTTTTGTGAGGGTTTCTAGTCCTTCATGTATTCATCATTCATTCTTTTATATGCTGTGGCATCCCTCTTCTTATGAGGGCTGAGCAGACTGTATTCCATCTAAAATACCTTCCTTCCCACCTACTCAAGAACAATCCCACAGTAACTTTTCCCCCTCCCCCAAGTCAGCAATATTTCTGTTTCTACATAATCACTCATGTCAGCATTTAAAATATGCTAAATTTCTCCTTTCTTACAGGAAAAAAAATTAATTGCTAAGGATTCCATTTGCCCCCCAACTACTCGCCCCATATTTTTAAATTTTTTTAACTTCAAAATTCCTCAAAATAGTTATCTATATTCTGCTTCAATTCTTTTCTTTTTATTCTCTCATATAACATAATCCCAATGGGTATTGTCTCCAACCCTTCAATGAAACTATTCTCATTAACAGCCTCAAAGTGGAAAAAGAGTAATGGTCAATTTTCGGGCTTCAATGTATTTGACCTATCAGCAAAATCTCTATCTCTCCTTTAATCACTTTTGACACTTCACTCTGAGTTATTATTCCCCTTTGTGGCTCTTCTCTCTCACCAACTGTTCTTACTGGAATCTTCTACTATTTCTATCATATGAGCAATGAGGTGCCTCCAGGGAAAAATCCTGGGTTCTTTTGTCATCTCCATCTAAATTTAAGTCCTGGTTATCCTCATGTAGGTTTATGATGGTGAAAACGATAGAATACAACTCTTATATTTATACCTCAAGCTTTGATTTCTACTGTAAGTACCAGATTCTTTATTGAACTCCCTCACCAGTATCTCCACTTCATATTCGAAAGGTTTCACAAAATTGTCATCCCAAAGCTGTGCTCCTGTTTCCCTATAATTTACCCTAAAGTTGCCTGTCTTTTAGTCCTTGCCATTTCATTAAATGGAAATGTCATTGCTTTAGTTTAGGCAGAAACAAAACAAAATAGAAAACAACAACAACACTGACTTGAGATCCACCTTTAATTTCTTTATCTTACTCAAATCCTACATCTCATCAATCAGAAAATTCAGATGGTGCCTATAATTTGATTATTGTACATCATATTTACTGTTATCATCCTACTTCAAATCAACATTATCTCTCATCAGTTAGGAAATAACATGAAATGTCAGTCACTTCTGTCCTTTGCTCTATTCTCAAACTAGGGTGCACTAAAGTTTCATCTTTTACTGAGGGGGGATGTGAAAATAAATGTCTCCAGATCATTTGGGACTTTTTCAATCCAACGTGTGATCCAAACTATCTTGACTTTTATGTTTTGTAACATAATTCTAGAAAATATTGCTTTATCAATCTGGCAGAAATCGACTCAATATTCACACAAAAGGATTTTGTTAACCTCACTTGTACAATGACAAAGTTTTGTTGTATCTTAACCTACTTAAATTTCTGCACTTATGCCTCCTGGACTTTAGACTTCCTTGGTTATGCTCCTTTGAGCACTTGACAGTAAACCACCTAAAAAATAATTATTTTTACTTTCTTTAATTATTAATCTTTAGCTGGAAACCTAGTAAAGGTTGTTAATGAAACAAAAAAGCTATTAATACAGTGATAAATACATTTTGGATGTTCTTTAAAATCTAATGGAATGAATAGAAAATAATTTATTTTTCAGTTTTAATGCCAAGATTGGGAAACCTTATATTTTAGAGCTGAAGTTACTTTGGAAATCATGTAGAATACCTTTTCTGTTTTGAATTTTTAGAGAACTCAGACTTATAAAAGTGAAATGCTCACATACCTACAGAAATTCACCAGAAATATTTCACAGAAAAAATAGTCCTAAAAAAGGAAATTTATGTACTCTAGAAAGCAATATGTGATTCCAATGGCAATTGTTTAGAAATAAACAATGATATAATCTCTAACAACAAATTGACTTCAAATATAAATATAAGCAATTGCAAAAATGGTTATTAATTGTGTATTTTTAAAAACATTTTTAGGCTGGGAGTGGTGGCTCAGCCTGTTATCCCAGCATTTGGGGAGGCCAAGGCAATAGGATTTTCTGAGCCCAGGGGTTTGAGACCAACCTGGGCAACTTGGCGAGACATCATCTCTACATTAAATCCAAAAAATAAACTGGGTGCTTTAGAACGCACCTGTGGTTCCAGCTACTTGAAGGCTGAGGCGGAAGGATCACCTAAGCCCAGCAGGTGGAGGCTGCGGTGTCAATGAGCATGATACTGCACTCCAGTCTGGGTGACAGAGTGAGACTCCTACTCAAAAAGAAAAGACATTTTTATATCTGATAATAGAATATATTTTCATTTTAGTAGTCCAGAGGAAAAAACACTCTTTCAAAACAATCTTCTATGACATTCCTTTCTAATTTTTTTGCCTCCAAATATCTCTTTCTCTTTTTTCTCTCTCATATAAAGTTGTTTTTCATTAAATGATTGTAGTAGTGTGACCTTATTTGGCTTCTTTATAAGCATGAATAGTTTATCTTAAAATAATATTTTATTTTCCTTAATGTCATAATGTTCACAGAGAGGAAGCAAAAGTATTACTGCCAGATTAGATGAAAAATCCACCAATGAACCATCAAAATACCTTTATTATTATTATTCAGTTATGCAGCTAATTGATGTGAGTTAGTTGCTTATATTCAATGTTTTGCACTCAGTAAATAAACTTTATTGATGAAAAAGGACTCCATCAGACACTACATGTATCTACCTGTACTAATGGAAAACATACACACATGCAATCTGAAGACACTGTAACATTCTTCAAAATGAAAAACATGCATTCTTCTTTTGGTATAACTGTCCGAAGAAATTTAACCTCAGTTTGGATGGCTGCTATGTGGGGCTTGTTAGCTTGTAGCTGGTAGGTTTTGCAACATAAAAGTAATTCCAGTTGAGCAAACTTGGGGCACTTTGTACCAAACAAGAGCTCTAACAGTCATGAAATTTTACATAGGGAACCCATACTGAGGATTCTACCTGCCTTCAGAGGCTCACATAAGTCTAACTATTAATAATCTAGGAGGAAGATGAAATCTATTTTAAGGTAAAAGATATAAACAACGGCCATTAAAGATGAGTATTTTTATCAGTCTTTGGTTATTAAATTGCTTGTGCGTTCCCTTGCACTTTTACCACAAGACTATTGAGCATAAGCTTTTATAGAGAGGAAACCAAATCCTTTCCCCATCTCATCTTTACCTCCATAGACACAACACACAAATAAATAACTTGCTAACAAAGGCGCAGACTCTGTCAGCAGGATGAATTACATTTTTGCTATATGAGGTGTTACTTTCACATTATCTCATTGAGTGAAACTGACTTTAACGTACTCTTCTTGTCCAAGTGATAATATCACAACTTTAGCAATTCTCACAGATTTTCTCCTATGCACAAAAGTCAGAATACTTTTATTTATATTTACCGCTTTATTGCTTCTTCTTGTCTTCGGCGTTTTTCATTCTTCTCCTTCAGATATGCCAGGTTTGTTTCATTTCTTAAGCGATCATTCTCTCTAGCAATGTCAGATGCATTCTGAATAACCAAGCCATCATACGCCTTCATCCCCATATCCTCAATGTACTGGAGAAATGTGTCCAGAGGGTCTTCCTCAGGATTAGAACTCATCATCTTGGAGGAGATCATGTAAAAAGGGACACTTCCTATAGGGTGAAAGGACACATTTATCCAGGCTGGGAATAAAAGCAAGGTTTTTAAAATAAAAAGCATGTATTATTCCTTAACTCTTAAATCTCCAGTGATTATCATAGAATTCATTTGAAGAAAATGTCTCATTATAAATTTACAACAACCGGAATATTTGAAGTAAATATTAAATAAGTATTACCTGAGTAGCAAATACTTGCTCAAAGTAGAAATATTAACAGGACAAAGGTAAAGCTCTTGTACTGAAAAGAGATGTGAAGGTGAAAAACACTCTACATTTGGTTTACATAATTAGACTAATGATTTTATTTCTCAAAAACATGTTCCTATACCAATAAATCAGATCCAAGCTTCATTTACTTCTGATTGTCATAGACTTTTTTATTCAATTTCAAATAAAATGATATAATTATTTGGAAAGAACTTTTGTACTATATTCAATTTCCTTAAAATTTTAAATTAAAGTTTATGAATCTGAAAAACTTATGTAAAATATAGCAGTAATAAAGGGAAGACATATTTTAATATAATTAGTCTAGAAAATAATTTCTTTTAACCTTCTATTATTTTTCATGATCCTTTCTAATGACTTTATACTTTAACTCAGGTATCACTGATCACCAGGACCATGTTAATCTTCACCAGTTTGATAATACAAGCATTGATAACAGATGCATCATTGTTACATGAAGTTTTAAAACCCTAAGCCATAGAAAGGCTTATTGAAAAACCAAAATCATACCAAAACAAGAATATGTACTACTTGTAACCAGTATATATTACGCTCACTTGTAAAATGATGGTAATAACTCCCACGTCCTGCTGCTGTGGAGATTAAGAAAGGTAAGGACTGTAAAGAATTTAAAATAGAGTTAAATAATAGTAAATATATAATACTGTTAGTTAATATTATCATAATTAAAGTATGGAAAGAAGACTGGCAGCAATAGTAACATTAAATGGATATATGTAGATGGATGAATGAGTGAATAGATGGATGAGTGCGTGGATGGGTGAGTGGGTGAGTGGATGGAAGGATGATGGATGGAAGGATGGATGGATGGAAGGATGGATGGATGGAAGGACAGATGGATAAAAACTTTACTGTCCTCAACTGCATATTCACTGTGGTATAGGAAACTAGTATTGAATCAATTGAAAACTCAAAGCAAAATCAGCTAACAAGAGAAAAATTTGGCCATTTAAAAGTTACAAATTACCTTACATCTTTTACGTTTTTCAAAAGGTTGAAAAGATATTTTGAAAATATCAGCTCAACTATCTAATGTAAAAGTCCCAGACTTTCATTTTTCAATTACAAATTATTTTCATTCTGCTTTTTTTACAAGTGTAATTATGTTCCATAAGCTGGATTGTAGCTATGGAAATTTTACTCCTTATCAGAGTTTATTAGCATTTCAGCTGTCAGTCAATCCATATTTGAATCCCATGCTGAATTTAAGAATTTCCTCCCCAATCTAAACAATTGTTGAAACAGGAGACTACACAGAGTTGTTTGTTGGCTCATGATTTTTGTTAAGTTTTATTTTGTTTTATTTGGTTTAAAACTGTAATGGATTAGCAAATGAAATGGCCTTTTAATTCCAACTATCTAATGTAATTGAATTGTATTTTAATATCAGTCAATCAGATTAGATGTTTAAATGGTGGATATACAGAGGAATGGGAAATTACTGTCACAAATGATTGTGATTTGAGGAGAAAAACATAAGAAAACAATTCTAGAGAGCTAAAGTATTTCCATTATTGGGAGTTCACTTTTACCAGGGACTTCAGTACTAGGTGTGCCCCGTTTAGAAAAGATCAGCATAACTTTGTAGCAATTAATTCCACCGAAGTTAGGCAAGCCAAGTCACTACTACAAGGATTCTAGAGATAATGCCTCTGGCTGGAAGAGGATCATTTCTTCCCTGCCCTCTAGCAAAATTATATATTTCCCAATTGTATAAGGCATTATTACCCAAAAGTTTTTATTTTTTTCCTTAAGTTTTCCTCCAACCCAAACGACACCAACAATTCTTACATAGCTTATATATTCCAAATATTAACAAGGTTAATTTCTTTACCTCCAAAAATTAACTATCTTCCTAAATGGTCTTTCAAATTGACTGGAGTTTAAATTATTTTTTTCTGAGAAAACATGAAATAATAACATCACATAATTTTTATACCATGAAAATTCATGTGTTATTGTAAATAAAAAATTTTTGAGCTGAAAATCAACCATAACGTTTCATAAAACCTCATAGTAATAAAAATTGGATGAATGTTTGTACACATATGCTTATACTACCTAATTCTAGAAAAGTGTTCAATTCTATGACCATTTGTTTATCCAAGCATTTACTGAGCACCTGTTATGGTTATTAATGAAGGTGGAATTGTGTCCCCCTAGGTATCCACACTGCAGAATTAGAGCACAATAAATAAATAATTGCAATGCTTATGACTAGGGCTCTGACTCAGGTGGCTCAATAGGTAGTCATGCAGCCTTTATTTTCATTATTTTCAAGGGTGAACAAGAAGCACTTTTCAACAACTTTATTCAGTCTTCAAAAATGGGCATACACTCTATCAATGTCTAGACATCTTACTTTTTTATTCACTTGTCCACTGGCAAAAGGTGTTTGTAAAAGAGGCTATGAGGCAGTTCTGAAGGCCACAAATGAGCAGGCTGGAGAACTACCTATAAACCCCAACATGGGTGCTTCTAGCTCTATGACTTTGTGCATGTTAGTTAACCTCTCTAAGCTTCAGCTTCTTCATTTTAAAAAATGGTTGGAATAGACTTCTTTGTGAGGATTCAGTTACAAAATGCATAAAAATATTCAATAAATGTGGTCTAATTATTAGTCACCAATATTACTATTAGACATTTTTCCTAGTTCTTAACTTTGGTCATGATTATATTTTGTAATAACATAACTTATTGATAAACATTACTTTATTTTGAAACAAAGGTAGTGAGACTGCTTAGCACAGTTCAACTTCCTTAATCACACTTATACAAATGGAGGCCAAAATAAGAATTAATACATTTGCCCACCAACCAAATGCATGTGAACAGTCCATGTATCCATTGTGCCCTATTGTCACCATCCAGAAAATAAAGGCACTGAGGCACATGGACCATGAATTTCATCTCACCTCTCAACCTCTCAGACTCCTCCCTTCCAAGTCAAAAGGTATTTCCTAGGCAATAGAGCAATGAATAAGTAAATTCATGGCCTCATTAAAGAAAAGCAAATCGTATGTTAATTATCTACCTCATTACAACTGCCTCAATTTCACTGCAGTGAAGTGAGAACTCACAGATGAGAATGGCCATAAATCTATTTGTCTTTCAGAAATTTGTATTTGTGGCTAAGATACATGTTGAATAAGTTATGTTTTATACCACCAAAAACTTGATTGAGTTGTGACTGTTGGATATTAATCAAGTGTGTTTCTGGCCCTTGAGTGTATACAAACATTTTTTAAAAACTTGTCTTGAGCACCTAATTCCTAAGTTGTCATCTTAGAAACCCCTATTTGTTAGGAGGCAAACAACCGCTTTTCTCCAACTAGCATCTTTAGCTATATCTCAGTGAGTAAGAGAGTCTAGCTTATTCGATTTCTAACTAGTGCATGGCTATTTGTGACAACAAAGTAGGTGAGATTGAAGAGGAATGTTTGTTTTTTTAAGGGCAGTCCTTTTCATTGAACACTATAGTATGTGTCTACAGCCACTTTTGTTCAAAACAGATGGGATATTTTAGCCCTTTCCACATCCCTGGAGCATTGGTTAAAAACAGGCATCTATGATCTTCATTCAAGGCAGATGTGTTTTCTTTGGAATGCACGATATTGATCTGAATAGTGCAAGCTGCTGTGTGTGTGCATGTATGTGTGTGTGTGTGCGTGCGCGCGCGCGCGTGTGTGTCTGTGTGTGTTTCTAGGAATTTGTGGTTAGCATTTAAAATTTGTGTCAGGGACTTCTCTGGCAAAGCACCTAAAATAAGCAAGATTAGAATCCCCATATAATTCACAATACCTTCACATCCTCATATCATGCATTTCCTCCACTGTTGTATTCTGCATTCATAAAGGACTCCTTTTGCTTAATTTTAAATTACTGTCTCTAGAATCATGGTCATTCTAATAAAACTACAGATTTTGGCTTAAATAAAATTGTATGGTTAACTGTTCAGCTTTATTTTATCTTATTCTTTCACTTTGTTACTTACACCCTGTTGACCACACCCTTTACAAAGGCCATTTTTTATAATATTGAGACTTCCCCAAATTTAAAATTTCAATAGAATCAGTTAAGATGCACACATTGAAACTGGTGTATTCTTACCATATTCAAAACACCAAACATTTAACTTTTTAGTGGGTTAACCGTTTCCTTACTTTCTTTTGTGCATCACTGTACCTTACCAATGTTGAACCTAGACCCGAAAGTATCCATCACATATACATGTGAAGCATGACTAAATATGGTATATCAAAAGAAAATTCATAAAAGCATTTAGAAAGTTAAAATTTTACTTCCTTTTTCTTTGTTTTTTTTCTTTTTTTTTTTAATCTACTGCTTTCATTCAGGGAGCCCTAGAAGCTAAGAAACTACATGATCCTTACTGCTAAAGCTACAGGGGGGGGGCATTTTTGAGAAATATGTAAAAAATATGCAAAATAATTTAACTAGGATCATGCCATTATGTGGGTTATTCTCTTTGTAAATTAAAGTGTTAATTATGTGTAATATCAGTCTATCAGTCTACCAGAGGACATTTAGTTGACACCAACCAATATCAAGATTGAGTTCCCCCACAGTGCAGAGGGTTTATGATTACTTCTGGGCTACTATTGAACAAAAGGTGTACAAAGAGTTAGATAAATATTAGGCATGCGGTCTTCCTTCTCACACATGTTTAAACGTTTTTCCTTCATTTGCTTAAAATTCAGAACAAATTTCATACATTGTGATGTCAACCACTCTAGCTCCATAGGGACTGACCTGGGTCACAGCCTTCTGGTAGACCATTTACCCAAAGCAGAGTTCTATAGTTAGAGTATCATTTAAGTAAGTTAGTCCATTAGCTCTCATGGGCACTGGTCCCTTTTTCTTTTCTTAAGATGTTTACTCAGAATTTTTGAAATTGAACTGTTCTCCATCTGAAACTTTGATTTTCCAAGATATAAAATTATGATGACTCAGTTATTCTGGATATTTGTTACCACACTGAGTGGTAGAAACAGCTCTGGTTTGGGAGATGACTGCTTCCTAATATGTGAAGCTCCATAGGAAGCTTCCTTAATTTTAGGCCACAGTCAATCCTAATGGGATAATCTTACAGCTAGAATAAGATAGAGTTTATTTTGTGTTATTGTTATAATGCTACTTGTGATCTTCAGAAGAACACAACATATACAAGAGAATATAATTTCTGATGAAAGCCTAGACATTTTACCCTTACTGTACCTCACACTGATGTTTTCCTTTAATTTGCAGATGGGAAAGTTTTCTACTCTTTTCCCTTTATGTATTTCTGAGATATTCAAACCACATCTGTCTCAATGTTATGAGAATATTAATATTGGAATTTGAGTTATTCAAATTTTATTTTCCTTCTCACTCCAATCATCTTCTGTGAGACAGAGAATCTTCCCTGAGATAGAGAATCCTATTTTGTCTAGTAATATTGATCCAATAAAAGTTTCCCAAGGCAATTTTGACTATTTGTTGGTGTTTTTCAGCAGGAGAAAAAGATCCTTTACAATTTTTGCATGTACTCAGACCAATTTAAAAACACATTGTGTATGAAAATGTAACTATTTAAATAATCAGCCTTCATATACATATGTAAAATATGTATGCAAATTAATATCTAAAATGTGCTGACTTTATGTAGGACCCAATCAACAGACTGGATGCCTGGTTATAACCCATAACACATGTAAACCATGTCAAAATTGTTTTTCTGATAAAATGTTATAATCTGTCAAACATTAGCCTTATAATTTCTCTTTGATTTGCTAGAAATCCTACCCCCCAGGCCCACAAATGGTCACACTCATTTTCTCCTTCTCAGTGTCATCAGAATGCAGCTGTTCTGCCCAAAATGGGAAATGTTGAAGTTACAACCAAGAAAGCTTGCTGGAGTGACTACAAAGACACTGATTGCTTTTCTTTCTCAGAAAGCAGATTACTTTGCAGTGAGTTTTTCTCCACTATCTCCCTTCCCAAAATGATTAAAATGGACAAAAATTCTGTTAATGTAGTAGCAGCTTAAATCAGATATCTCCCCCAACTTCCAGGTTGTCAAGGTGCTATTTGCCATGGTCTAAAGTGATTGCACACTTCCAATAATGTTAGAGATTCATGCAAAATGCCAGTGGCTGAGGTACTTTTTGGAACCTTGGGTCAAATGGTTCCAGACGCTTACAAGGCACTATTTGCAAAGTAGATGGAGTCAGTTTAATAAATTGCTGACTGGAGCTACAGTAGAAACCATCTAATTGAATTGGGAGTCTATGATTTATTTATTTTTTAAAATAATAGCCAATCTCCTTGTCTCTGAGATTTTTTACACTTCTCCTCCCTTTAAACTTTTCAGGTGCTTCAAGTCCTTGGGTTTCTTGGTAGTCCCTTGTGAAGTTGCACAATTTTTCTTAGATCTGTTTTCACTAATCTTGTAAACTGCCAATGTCCTTCACACAGTCCCCTTCTTTGCTGAGTTAGCTAATGTATATTGTACTTTCCACAAAGAAACAAAATAATTTATGCATTTGTGGCTCATATTTTCTTATTAATGTGTAATTAACATTTGAAATTTTATAAAATAAATTTAAACATTGCCTAAAATATGAATAAATAGAGAGTTCATTTTCACTCTTTCTCTATATTCATTATTCCACACTACTTAGTTATAAATTCTTGAATCCTAAAATGATAAAACATGCATCATATAACCTCTTTATCTGGATTTCATTATTTTCTGTTTATATTTAGGGAGAAATTCAGTTCTATAGTACCAAGACAACTTTAGCATTTCATAATGAGAATAGAAAAATATTATTTCATATAACAGTTTTTGTTTTTACAGGTATAGAATACCTACTTTTCTTGTACTTAAAATATTGCTGGGTGGTTGAAAAATTATGATGGAGATACTTCAGCAAAAAAGTATGTGTCCCAAGTAAAACAAGTCCACTTAAAGTTCTATAGAAAATATTTATTATGATGAAACATTAATTAAATCTTCCTGAGACTGAGTGGCATTAAAATATATTTTCCAAATAGATTTATATTTAATCAGTCAGGAAGAAGCAGTGTCAGCTTTGGTATATGTCTGGTAGTTTTGGATTTTGGGGGGGATAGGGTGTCTTTTTTCTGAGAATGCAAAATTGGGTTCTCACTGCTGACACAAATGTGCTAAGAGACTGTTGTAAAATATTTATGGTATAGAATAGTGGATAAATAGCTAGCATGCACAACTCGAATGCAATTAATACCCTGGAAAATATTTTCAATGCTTTTAATAATTCAACATGGCTTATTTTGCTAATGAAAATCTAGTTTAACCATTTCCATGGTAATGTAAGTAAGTGGGTAAGGGAGTAAAAATAGCCTGAAGCTCACTAAAGCCCTGAATGCCTTCGCTGTGGCTTTATTTCTACTCCACCTAATAAGGCATGCAAACTTCAGCATTAAGTTATCCTTATCTAAAATCCATTCCGTTTTAGAAGCAGATTGCTTGATCTATTTAGTGATGGATTCAATTAGCATGCTTAGAGAATCTGAAAAACGAGATACATACCAAAATTTAAGTCCCCAGGGAGAGCTAAGTGCAATAATCAGAAGGTGACTTGTGTCTGTCAGAGCCCTCTCTCACAGATGATCTCAGGGCAGTTCTGTAGGAGCAATCCAGCACCATAAGAAATAGACTTGTAGTTCAGTTCAGTTTTTCTTCAATTAAAGTGCATTGTGTCTGGATGGGAAAAGTGTCGACTCCCAGATTCTTCATCACTAGATCAGAGCATTCTTGATGTCCTTCCTATCAGATAAAATGGCCTTTAAAGTTTTCTAGGAAGATGCAGTGGCAGAAGACAGGTGCTTGCTTCCTTAAATCGACATTCGGAGAAAAGAGGGCATAGCTAATGGGTGGGGATGAACACACAGCCCCTCTCCTTCCAGGTCCAGCAGGAAAGAAATTGAATGATTTTTACCCACTTTGCTACACAGATGATTACAAGACCCGAAGCAATCACTAGGCTGGATAAGGTACCTCATTTGATTATATTCTGTGAAGACAAAAATAAATGAAAACAAAAAATCAGGAGCATCCTTTCTAAATGTTTCCTTTCAGCCAAAAAGATGCTCTTTCTCATTGCCACTTACATACAGAAGGTTTGGAGCAGCCCAGCTTGTGGCATCGTCCCTCCCCCGTGACAACCAGCTCTCTCTCTCTCTCTCTCTCTCTCTCTCTCTCTCTCTCTCTCTCTCTCTCGCTCTCTCTCTCTCTCTCTCTCATTCTCTCTCTCTCCACTCCCTCCCTCCCTCCCTGCCCCTGACTCCCTCCCTTCCTGCTTCTCTCTCTCCTCTCCAGCTGCCTTAGTCTGTTGATGCTGCTGCTGATTAATCAGGGATTCTGAAACAAAGAACCTACCTTCTGAAATAAGCAGTAATGTTTCTTCTGCTTCTGCAATCCGTCTGCATTGAGCGGCAAGGCTGCCAGCATTCTAGCACCTTGGATAGTTCCTGCTCACTAGGCCCATTGGAAAAGGGAGAAGAGGCAAGTGAAGAAATGACAAGAAACCCGAAAGCAGCATCGTTCTACTTTGGATTTCGGCTCCCTGGGGGCTTCCATCCTCATTAAAGGCCTCACATCTAGGCAACAGAACCTCTCTCTTTTATCTAACTGAGCTGAAGTCTGATTAGTAAATAAGAAGATGAAAAGAGGGTAAAGAAATCATTTATATTCACGATAGCACTGATTCAGTCCTTCAGTCCTTACAGAGAAAAATATACATAAATCCATCAAAATAAATATTTTTATTACAGAGAATGTTGAAGATATAAGCGTTTCACCCCTGGCACGGCTAATGAAAATGAGCAACAACTTAAATGGAACATTCAGATCTCGGTTTGATAGCCTTATTTGATTTCAATGTTGCCTTCACCCTCCCTGCACAGTCGAGCCATGCACACAATTACTGCTGACGTACTTCAGGCTGCTGCTTGGGGAAAGAGGGGAGGAGCCTTTTAACCTCATCAAAACAGCTTCATGCCACCTGCTCCCATGGCATGAGAACAAAACTAGCCCACTTTAGAACGTGCACAGCGCACACATGTGTGGAACAAAGGTCTTACTCTCAGACTGCACATTCTTGCTTTAAACTAAAATCAGATGTAATGTGTAATGGCACATGTGTGTCATTAATTCCTATAGACTCATTGTTGAAATTATTTAAAGCCATTCTATTTACTACATTTCCTAAGGACTCTCCTCATTCTGTTTTTGACATTCTACTGAATATATACATAATTATCATGTTATATGCCACAACTTGTATATATGCACGTGCTTGCATGTGTCTATATATGTGTGTGTGTCTATTAAGCTCAAAGTTTTTATCTCCTTTACTTCTCCTCAGAGTAAGAAGTAAAATGTAGATGCTTTAATGTGTTAAGTTTGTACTATGGTAAAAGGAACAATACACAATAAGTTTCTGCATAATTGTGGCTAGAATATCAATTTTTCAAGGAAAAAATATGTTTATTATTTGAAAGTGACCTGTAGGTTTTTCCTGTCACATTCTTTTTTTAATAATTCTTATTGTAAATGACCTTCATTTGCTAGCTGATTTCCCAAGAGTTATCCTAAGCAGCTAGAATAATATCTAATCTCTTAGAAAAATATTTTCTGGATGTAATTTTTGTGCAACAGACCACAAAAATAAACTTAAGTTCACCTTCCTAATTCTTAAGTGCCATCTGAGACTATGTTATGATTATCTCAAATTTTATTTCTTTAACTTGTATGTATCTGGGAGAAAATAAAATTAACACATTAAATTATTATGTGGTTTTCTGATTTTCCATGTTCCAAAGTGCTTTGCTAAAGTTCATCATGTAAGTTTTGGTCTTTATGTATCTACCTTTCATTTGGAACAGGACACCTGTTTAATGTTGGAAAACATTCAGCAAGATTAGATAGATGAAAAGAAGGAAGGGAAATATAAAAGGCCACACCTCCATCTGTCTTTCTTACTCTCTTGCTCTCCCTCTTCTCTACCTCTCCCTTTCCTGCCCTCGGTATCTCCCTTCCTGTCCCCATCCCCTTCTGTTTTATAGATTCTAAAAACTTAGCACATTGCAGAAAAGTGCCTCAAGCACCACTTACAAACTGGTAACAGCCGCCACACTGTGATCAAGAGGTTTACTAATGTACCATCATTTTTGGTAATGAAGTGTTCTCACAGATGTCTTTCAGCCCATGACCAAAGGTGAAAAAGATTCTTTATAGAAAAATTATATGACAGACATTTTAGGAAATGAAAATAATTTTACCAGTTTGGGTGGCTGCACTTTGAACTATACACAACTTGAATAAGTGCTAGTTAAAACCCATTTTTACATATGACAAAAAATAACATCAAGGCAATTCAACTCACTTGCTCCCAGTCTCCCACTTATTGCCTCATGAGGGTTATGACCAATGGTCATGATGCTGACTGCAGGTCTCCTCATCTTCTCAACACAGTAGTTCTCAGTTCCCCAGATTTCATGCACCAGAATAATTCAAGCAAATTGAGGAGAGGTTGATATGTGGTTGCCACGTATAAAAACAAAAGACCCTACAGTTATTTTTTACCACAAAAATTCAAAATGTGAAAGAGATTTTTATTTTAAAAGAATAGAGAGAACATATTTATAATACCAGATGATCTTTCCATTTTATTTTTTCAACTTTAAAAAATATATAATATTGCCTTCTTTCCTCACTCCCTGTCCCCTTCCTTCCTCCCTCCCTCCCTCCCTTTTTCCAACCCTTTTTTGGATCCTTTCTTCCTTCCTGTTCTTACCTGCCTGCCTGCCTTCCTGCCTTTCTTCTTTTATTTTTTTCCCCCATTATGTCATAGACTAGGACTTAGGAACCAGCACATTATACCAACCTCATCTTCTCAATCCCACATTTTCCTCATTCCAAGTGTTAGTGTCTGTTGACTAGGAAACTTCTCTGGAAACATATTAGTATAAAGGAATTTATGGCACCTTTAAATATTGGTGCTGATCTGGGCCTCTGGGCCTCATAACTATTTCTTTAGGTCTCACTGAATGAAACAAAAAAGGATTTTTATCCTCTCAAATAATCTTATAACCAAATGGAGAACTCATTTCTAACCATTTCAATAATATCTGGAGGAAAAAAATGCATTGAGTAATAAATAAAGTTGAAAATCCTCATATTAAGGTTAAAGATATAAAAAGATCAAAAAGGTTAAATTATAGTTATGTGTGGTTTATTTTTTAAGTATCTGTATAAAATACATAGATGCGTTTGATATCACTAGGAAACCAGTCATTGAGAAGACCCATTACTTAGTATTTCTTTTATTGTTCTTGATTCAGGATAGAGTTTGGCTCTTGCTTTTGCACTATAATGATTAACAAAGTTTGATGCTTTAGGAGTTAAATAGGTCCCTTCAGTGAATTCAGATAGACCAGGAGAGTCAGAGCCCTGAAAATACTTCTTATTCTATGCATTGGCCAGATGGTGGGGAGTGTTTTTTGTATAAAAATGATGTAAATGAGAAAAGTAAGAATTGAAATAGAACAATCTAGTTACCTAAATTTTAAAGGGTTTATTCAAATACATGAAGTGAAGATATACTCTCTGAAGTCATGTCATAATTTGTAACAAAACCTTTCTAGTTTTTTCTATGATCTGTATTTCTTCTATTATTCTTTCCACATTTAGCTTAGGGAGGTGACCCCTCTGTTATAATGAAATTATTCCACTAGGGAAAAAGCTAATCTCCTTCCTATCCAATCAGGATTTTCAAGCCTTCTTGTAACAGCATGAAATGAAAGTCTTGATAGAATGAGAACCATATGTTCCTCATGATTTTTGCCTATAACAACATAGACGTCAACAGAAGTTGCACATATGACTTAGGGGTCGTGCAGGAGCAGATGGCAATATGGGTGCTCCAAGATCCTTAATACTCAGTAACTAAAAAATTTAAAAAGTAAACAATTTATGGTCTAATAATACACATAAAAACTACATTTGCAGTGTCAAGGGAGCAAACTGGAAATAAATTGAATATTTCCTTGATAAGACATTTGTGAGTAGATAAAAATATCCCTTCTTTGTTTTGTCCAGTAGGTATTTTCTCACAAAGATTTCAGAAATACCATAAATGTATTTATTTCTATACTAAAAGTGATAACATACTAAAAATAATAAAAAGATTACTAAAAGATTACATGTCCTAGTAAATCAGACACACCCAGTTCAACCATCTCTCTTCTTTGAAGAGATTATATCTACTTGAGTTTCAAAAGTCAGGTTTATCTTACCTTCATAGCTTGTCCTAATTTACCACAATCAAACTGGATGCTTGATCTTTGTGTTATGAAGTACCCAGTAAATGATTTAAAATAAAATCCTGAGGTTTTTTTTTAATACTATGCCAAACATGTCTATTTCGTTCTTTGCATGTGCTTGTCCTGAAATTCCTTACAGAGCAGAAACCTTCCTTTCTGTTCCCAGGGCCCCAGCATATTGACTGCATCCAACCAGTGTAGGGATAGTATGGTAGGGATTTGTTGGAAGAATGTATGACTCCAGATTTCAACTTGTGGCACATTCTGCACAAGTAAAAAAATTCAAAAGTAGTCATATAATGAACATGAAATTATATTAAAAAAATAAAAGTACAATTGGAAATTTAAATACAGAAGTAGTCAAACTAAAACTCAAATACTTGAGAAGGGAAAATCTTTCCAAAGGGACTCCATAGTATTTCTAGTTGAAAAATCCAAAATAACCGATTTGAAACTGAATAGAAAATAATGGGATAGTTCCATAGGAAGACCAACATAATATAATAAGGATCATATTTGGAGAAAAAAGTACAATTCTTGAGATACAGTCTTAGTCAACTCAGGCTTCTATAACAAAATACAACAAACTATTGTCTTAAGCAGTAGAAATTTATTTTTTATAGTCCTGGAGACTGGGAAGTCTAAGATCAAGGTGCCAACATATTTGCCTCCTGGAGAAGGCCCTTTTCCTGGTTTGCAGATTGTACCTTCCGACTGTGTCTTCACATGGCAGAGAGCACATGCCCACAAGAGAAAGGGAGAAAGGGAGAGAAGGAAAGAGAGAGGAGGAAGAGAGAGA